TGGCATTAATAGTAATGCTGCCATTTATTTTACTAAACTACATCGCAATGTATCCAAACTCTTGATTGTCTATGCCGGGCGACACCATTGTAATTAACGGCTGCTTCTTCTCACACTTAACTTGCGTTGCTTATGTAGCGACGTTCACGCGCGTGCAGCCGCGCATTCACGCCAAGCTGTCGTTCCATCATTTAATTAAGCGTCGTGTTCGGCTCATGAATTTTGAGCGCGTGTTCTAATTACACCGGTGAGAGAGATGTTATTTGTAGGCAAAGGGTGCGTTTGGTTAAACCGCGATATCCTTTTAAACATGTTTAATTTTCAAGGCTTGTTTCAAGCACCCCTTGTTAATGAACTCATTGGGTATTAAGGACCCGCTGCATTATCGAGCACTGTATTGAAATAGTATAACAAAGAGTGGCAGCCTTCTGCCCCCACTAAATATCTAATTTCTCGAAGCTTCTCGGCTTTCCTAATGTAGTCAACTCTTGATTATCTGGTGGCATTGTGGAGAAGCGGTGGCCCAAATAAAGCATAACCACGGATAACGTGAAACACATGCACATTTTTGCCAGAAAACATTTATTTGCTTTACGTAACATAGAACGGAGGTGAAGACGTAGAATGTGTCGTCAGTTTTTATTGACGCTTAAAGGTAATCGGTTTACTTTGCCGACGACGTGCGTGTAGCCACAGCGCTTAGCGCAGAGTTACCCAAACTCCAGTGCTCACCGACCACCACCACGCTACGTCTTTCCGCGTGCATCAATCGACTCGTCCCACGCTGCACGCGCCCGACGAGCGTTAAACTCGTCCCACGTGACGCAGCAAACAACGCTGTGTCGCGTGGAATACGTGTGCGTGCATGCGCACACGTGTTCCACGCGTGTTCCACGCGTGGAACACGTGTATGCACGGCGTTAATTACTATTGAATCGGCTCTATTAATAAACGCAAGACAGCATTAATTGCTGAGCACGGCGCATAACTTGTATTTGAATGGGAGGAGTAAATTGGTTAGACGTAGCGTGGTGGTGGTGACGTAGGAGTTGCGAGGACTGGAGTTCGGGAAACACTGGCATCGTTGCGGTAACGAGATGTTAACTCCCTCGCCCTGGTATGCAGGAGGTTGTGGATTCGATCCCAACCCTGACGCCTGTATATTTGGAGTTTGCACGTTCTCTCTTTCTGTGGTCACATGGATTTTTCTGTCCGCGTCACCTGTTTTTCCCTTAACATTCAGAATCATGCGTTTATAGATATAGATTTCCGTATGTTAAGCCACTTCGTTCAGCTATCATTTGTGGCCAGGTCGCTTATGAAAAAGAGCTACATAGCTCAGTGGGCCTTACCTGGTAAAATAAAAATAGTTTAGTTTTGAAGTCAGTGGCCCACGTGAACCAGCATGGTTTAATCGACAACCTGGATAATCCGCCCACGGACAATCGAGAATTAACTGTCCAACCTGAGCGGAATACAGTGAGGGAAAAAAGTATTTGATCCCCTGCTGATTTTGTATGTTTCCCCACTGACAAATAAATGATCAGTCTGTAATTTTAATGTCAAAAATGTTATAAATTGATTTGCATTTTAATGAGGGAAATAAGTATTTGACCGCTCTGCAAAACATGACTTAGTACTTGGTGGCAAAACCCTTGTTGGTAATCACAGAGGTCAGACGTTTCTTGTAGTTGGCCACCAGGTTTGCACACATCTCAGGAGGGATTTTGTCCCACTCTTTGCAGATCTTCTCCAAGTCATTAAGGTTTCGAGGCTGACGTTTGGCAACTCAAACCTTCAGCTCCCTCCACAGATTGTCTCTGAGAATAAGGTCTGGAGACTGGCTAGGCCACTCCAGGACCTTAATGTGCTTCTTCTTGAGCCACTCCTTTGTTGCCTTGGCCGTGTGTTTTGGGTCATTGTCATGTTGGAATACCCATCCACGACCCATTCTCAATACCCTGGCTGAGGGAAGGAGGTTCTCACCCAAGATTTGACGGTACATGGCCCCGTCCATCATCCCTTGGATACGGTGAAGTTGTCCTGTCCCCTTAGCAAAAAAACACCACCAAAGTATAATGTTTCCACCTCTATGTTTGACGGTGGGGATGGTGTTCTTGGGGTCATAGGCAGCATTCCTCCTCCTTCAAACACGGCGAGTTGAGTTGATGCCAAAGAGCTCCATTTTGGTCTCATCTGACGACAACACTTTCACCCAGTTGTCCTCCGAATCATTCAGATGTTCATTGGCAAACTTCAGACGGGCATGTATATGTGCTCTCTTGAGCAGGGGGGCCTTGCGGGTGCTGCAGGATTTCAGTCCTTCACGGCTTAGTGTGTTACCAATTGTTTTCTTGGTGACTATGGTCCCAGCTGCCTTGAGATCATTGACAAGATCCTCCCGTGTAGTTCTGGGCTGATTCCTCACCGTTCTCATGATCATTGCAACTCCACGAAGTGAGATCTTGCATGGAGCCCCAGGCCGAGGGAGATTGACAGTTCTTTTGTGTTTCTTCCATTTGCGAATAATCGCACCAACTGTTGTCACCTTTTGATTTAAAGCTTTCGTGACTGCAGTAATTCATATTCTTAGTTCTTTCGGTAAAGTCACGTTGTTGTTTCCCTTCAACGTGACTTTACCGAAAGAACTAAGAATATGTTGTCACCTTCTCACCAAGCTGCTTGGCAATGGTCTTTGTAGCTCATTCCAGCCTTGTGTAGGTCTACAATCGTGTCTCTGACATCCTTGGAGAGCTCTTTGGTCTTGGCCATGGTGGAGAGTTTGGAATCTGATTGATTGATTGATTGCTTCTGTGGACAGGTGTTGTTTATACAGGTAACAAGCTGAGATTAGGAGCACTCCCTTTAAGAGTGTGCCCCTAATCTCAGCTCTTTACCTGTATAAAAGACACCTGGGAGCCAGAAATCTATGTGATTGAGAGGGGGTCAAATACTTATTTCCCTCATTAAAATGCAAATAAATGTATAACATTTTTGACATGGGTTTTTTCTGGATTTTGTTGTTGTTATTCTGTCTCTCACTGTGCAAATAAATCTACCATTAAAATTTTAGACTGATCATTGCTTTGTCAGTGGGCAAACGTACAAAATCAGCAGGGGATCAAATGCTTTTTTCCCTCACTGTATATTCTGGGTGTTATTGGGATAAATTACGAAAAATGTGTATCGTGCTGCATGGACCGATGCATCACGGGATGCTGCCCTGCCCCTCTCGACCACACAGTTCATCTTTATTTGCCTGCAGCTGCTGAAGCAAATTGATTGGAGTTTATTCTAGGTCCGTGCGTGGCATGTTTATCACTCTTCTCTTAACAATGCACTGCCTCCCAATTACGGGAGGCATCGGGGGGTTCTTAAAATTTTGCACCGATTGCTTAAAATGCCTTCCCGTGCCATTAATCAAAGCACGCCTTCGATTCAGCACCTCCACATAGTGGCTCGGTGGTCAGCTCAACCTTCCTGCAACTTTCCCTAGGAGCGTGTTTGTGGGGAAAAAAAATAAATCAATAGATTAATAAATAAATGTTTACGTCAGCTTCGAGATGCTATAAAATAAATGTGGTCGTTACTGTTGCATTTAGTTCTTTTTATTTGTATTAGTTGCGCTGTGGGCCGGTGTGTTCATTGTATAATGTGGTTCTCGAAGAAGCTCATTGGGCGTGGTGCAAAACATCGGACATCGTGCCAAACAACGCGTGGTACAGCCTGAAAACAAATCGGTGAGACCAAAACCAGTTAGTATTATTTTGGACAGCGTTTTGACCATGCCGCATCACAAGTGGCAGGAACAGCCATTTTGTTACATTCAAAGAAGATAAAAATTCTCACGGTGGCCTTTTATAGACTGTTAGGGCAAGTGCTGTTAGCGAGCATCTATTGCGAGCTGCTGTAGTGTACAAAGGGGTGCTGTGACCAGCAACACACTAGGCTCCCTTGAGCTCCCCATTGCTGATCCTTACGTACCACACCAGGTATTCATTTAAGGCTGAATAAACCTAGGGGAGGGCTCCAGACTGGTCCAGAATTTCGCTTTCCGCCAATATTAACAATTGGCAGGGGTTTAAAAAACGGGTTGCTGGGCTCTGTTAACCACTGCACCACTGTACCCCGCGTTGAGAACTTGCACGTACGATTTACTCGCAGGAAGACGCAACTCAAAATGTCTGATAGGTGTTCTTTTCAATTACACACCCAGGTTTGGTAACCCTAGTTGTGCGATATGAGGTTAAAGCTTCTCGTTGGTGAGAAAAGAAAGCCCATTGGGATCGTGAAAACGGGACTTTTGGGTGCGCATGACTGCCCAAGCACCCTCTGTTGATATCGGAGACACAACACATTCTCTTCTGAGTCGTTCACAGACTATCGCCGCACCAGACAACTGCACAGTTAAGCATCCAACACACGCAGATTAAGCGGCTGTCTCTTGGCAAAAAATACAATTTCTGTCAACAAAATGCCGTTTGTTTAAAGGCACGACTTTGCTGATGAGGTCCAAAAAGGTTTCCAAACCCAGTCCGAGTATTGTGTTTTTGTCCATTCAGCCAATAGGCCAAAGGACTGAGGAAACATTTTTAATATGAGCGGGACAATGTATTGCTTATAAACGAAAACTTTTTTTTATTTTAACAGGTAAGGCCCACTGAGCTATGTAGCTCTTTTTCATAAGCGACCTGTCCACAAATGATAGCTCAACGAAGTGGCTTAACATGCGGAAATCTACAGCAACCAAATAATCTAAACGCATGATTCTAAATGTGGAGGGAAAAACCAGAGGACCTGGGGAAATATCCACACGACCATAAGGGAGAACATGCAAACTCCAAATATACAGGCATCAAGAGTCGGGATCGAACCCACAACCTCCTGTATACCGGGCGAGGTAATTAACATCTCGCCACCACGTCACCCCCCTCCAAGAGATGACAATACACATGCACCCGTTTTTAATTTACGATGCGTTGCTCGCACGGTTTCCGCAGGAGCGCAGATGATCGTGGCGATGAAGGCCATCTCGCTGGGCTTCGACATGGACCGAGGGCTGGTCCCAGGCCTGCCCTCTCCGCTGCAGTTCATGGGCTACATCTACTTCGTGGGAACCATCATCTTCGGCCCGTGGACCAGCTACCACCAGTACCTGAACGCCATTGACAGTGCACCGATGGTAAGCCGACCTCCCGAAAGGAAAGGCTAACGGCCACGCTTGACCCATTAAAGGCGCGGCCCTGAAATCTGCTTCCTCGCTCCATTGCTGGCGGATGGGAAACTCCACGAAGAGGGAGCTCTAGAAGGTGTTTGGTTTACTCTTCCCTCCTGGGTGGACGTCTTTGAAGAGGTTGGGGAACCCACACTTTAGCCCACCGCACACGACATGCCAATCGACTAACTGCGGTGTACCCATTTATGCCGCTGTGTTTATGGAGAGCTGGACGATCGACTAAACTCGCCATTGTTTCAACTGCCGTGAGAACAAATTGAACCGGCGACAACTGGCCTGCAGGTCGAGTGTACTGACCGCTGCGCCGTGGCGGTATATCCAAAGATCCCATCGTGTCCCATTGGTCGTAGTAACAAGCTGCCAAGCCGATCCACGAAAAAGCGCCTGTTTTTTTATTTTTTTGAGGAGCGGTTCGACTTTACAAATAATCGGCTTCAAGGAAGCATGACAATGTGCAAACAAACGGGTGCGTGCTTTCGGCGCATGCTCGTAACCAATATGCGTGGAAAATAATGCCAATCCTGCCCACAAACTCTACAGATCAGGGCACCGGTATTGGTAAACGGTTTGGGAATGTCCTTCCAATCTAGCAGTGTATCATCCGTGATTATTAATCTGATGTTTTGGGGGAAAATATCGTAGTGTTTGTGTTTTCAGCACCCGACCTTAGTCTAAAAAGCCCTGACCTTTTGACGCCCTTCTAATTGAGGGCGGTGCGTGAATTTAACGAGGTGGGACGGGGTGTCTATTCGCCAGCGCCATTATCCTTAGCCCAGCTGCTGCCATCCGAATAGCCGCACAAGGCAGCACCTCCGCACCAACGCGGAGGAGACGCGTCCATACTTCGCCGGCGCCCAGCCAGAGCTCCCCCGCAGGTGCCAGGAGCGGTTCGGCATGCCCGTCGGTACGACGCACGAGGCCATCGAGTCCCCCCCCCCTCCGCCCCGCGCCACTCGGCCACGTCGCCCGAGGCGCGATTTCGCATTTGTTAATTCATTTTGACGGGGTTGCTGGCACGGATCCTTGCCTCGCTCTCCCCCCGGCGGCTTTACGTGAGCGGAGCCTCGCTATCCTTCGCGCTCCCGACAGTGATTCACCTTTCGCCCGTCTCCTCCTCCCGCTCTGCGGACGTTGGAAGATCCCCACGACGTTCCCTCCGCGAAGGTAGTTTCGTTTGTGTGCCGTTTGCGGTTCGGCGCTAGCGCCTCGGCAACTCAGGGCTCCACTGATCACATCTCATTTCCTCATTTCAATTGTCCGAAGGGCACCCCGCCCCCCCCCCCCCCGCAGTGGCAGCTGGCTTTTTGTGGCACCATACGACTCAGAAATAGCCCGCAAGTGGACACTAGACTGCCGGTAGGGGACGGCGATTCCTGCTGTGTTGAATCACATTTGAGTAATTTGCAGGTAAGGCCAGTTTGGAGCATGTATGTCGAACTTCTTTCGCACCGTACTTGGCCAACCGCGCTATATCGGAGGTAGCCGCAGCCGTTTCCACTGATGTCAGGGGATCTCTAATGGCCACTGTGAAGCAGGCGGCGCGTACTTTATGGTTAATGTACTCCTGCCTCATTAACCAGGGCGGCCTGCCGAATTCAGCCTCACTTTCACTGGACCATATTCTCCGCTCCGTGTTTTCAGCATCTGTATGTTTTATGCGATGGGTTCACGTGACCCATCGGGCTACTAGAGGCCACTATATTCACCGCAACATTTGAAATAGATTCTTGACTAGAATCGGGTCAGAATCGCGTAATCACCGGCACAGTGAATAATTCCGCCCCTACATTTAATACAAATATGTGGATAACACGTAACTGGCACACGCACGCACGCACGCACACACACACACTTTTATTTTGATGAAATGTTATCGTAATATGCCGCATAACAGACTAATTGCAATCTGGTCTGGCGATCGCAAGACGAACGTTTGCTGACGGAACCTTATCTTGGATGTCGATAATGCCTTGGAAATGGCGGCGCTACCGGTAATGCGAGCAAATTAAATTGGCCCTCGATTTCAAATTCAGGCACTCCCTCCCCAGTAATCTGCTTTGCGCCGGCCTCTGTGGGGTTGTGGGCCATGCAGGGGCATGTGTCACAACTTTGGCCGCTCTCACGCAAAACCTGGCCTCCCTGCCCGTGTACGTTTAATTAAACGCGTCGACCTGCTGCCACTGCCGCTGCTGAATCCGCGTGCGTCGCCACTGGTCCGTTACCGCCCACACCCCCCCCCCCCCCCCCCCCCCCCCCCCCCTCTCTCTCACAGCCTCTTTTGCTGGGGACAGTCTGCACAGACGGGCGCCGTTTTGGGCATCCTTCACGTGCCCCAATACATTAATTGGATAAAGAAAAGTTACGGGTCCTTTGCAGATCCGTCAAACGGGTGTCCTGCGTCACTGCCTCTTGTCCAGACAACAATCTCTTACTCTACAATGTCTCAAAGGCATGTCACATTTTGATGGGTGTGTCTGTGTCCTTTTTTTAAAATCCACAGCGCACTCATCCAAGCCTTTTAATGAAATTGGCTTTTAGGGGTTCTGTTAATCCATTATGCTGCAATGAAATTCATTGGCTTTGTTCATAAATTACCTAACTTTTTTTTGGACATTTTGTGCAATGGTTTTTGTGGCGCGTGATCTCAACTGTGTCACGGTCGATGGCGCAAGTTCACAAAGGCGCACGTTTTAATTTTATCGACATGCTTAGTTTCAACGTAACCTCCTTGTGTTCCGTTGTGGATACCGTTTAATGAGGGTTATTTTTAGAAGCAGCAATAAAAGCGGGAGTTGATGCAATTTTTTATTTTATTGTTTTAACATTCAAAACATATATAGTTGGTGAAAATTAAAAATAGTTTGTTATACGTTGCTTTCGCACTTGCGATTTTTGTTATTTATTAAATATATTTGTTGAGAATTTTATAAACGTAAAGTACTCAGATTACTACTTTCTTTTACAACGAAGCGCTTTTGCGTATTTTTAATGGCCCAAAGAAGCCCTTGTACGTGTGGCCAGGTGTCACGAGTTCTTAATAAAATTGAGCAATAATAACCTTTTCAACTGCTTAAAATTTGTAAAAATAACACCCAACATGGCCTTTAACTGTCTAGCATCAGCTCATTATCCAGTTAATATTAACGAACCCCCCCCCCCCCCCCCCCCGGGCATTCACTCACACGTGGCCAAATTAATTTGCGGCAGGCTTATCCCGACGACGGGGCCCTGTGGGGCATCCGGATGACTCCACGGCGGTGTTCAAAAAAATGTGCCTTCGTTTGAGTCTACAGACGAACGAGCGTTCACTTTGCACCCCTTTCACCCCCCTGAGGAAACCATAACCACGACAAGTTGACTGACGGCTAGAAAGTGCAGCCGCGTGTTTGCGTAAGTGGTTTTATTATTTCTCAGACGTTCACTTTGACTGGTGATAGGCGACGGTTAGGAAAAGCTGGTCGTCCAATTTCATTGCGCTAATGATCCCCCCCCCCCCCCCCCCCCCCCGTCGCTCTCATCACCACCGTTTCCACTTCTGCTGTTTGCTGTGTTATTAGATGAACAACAGCTAGCAGTGCATTACCCTTTGTCAGATAACGGCCGGCGGCTGCGGGCGATAATGTCACCAAAATTCGAAATTCTCATCGCGTTGCAGAACTTTTTACACCATACTAGAGCACGCATTTTAATGCCCTGCAAAGCTTGTTTGCCACATGGTATTCAAACCAATATGTCATGCCTATAATGAGCCAACTGCAGTGTTTTTTGTCAGAGAGAGAGATGTATGTATGATGGATATTTTGTGTCATCTTTCGTGACCAGGCTGAGACCATAAACTTGGTACACTTGAGAACCCAATTTAATTATGGGTGGCTGAAGCCCAGAATTGAGCCCAGGAATCTCAGCAGTGCCGGCTCAGTGCCATAACCCTTGAACCACTCTGGGCACCTCTGTCAAATTTCCTTTCTATTAAACACGACCGGGGAGTTTGGGTGTGTGTGGGAAGGAAAATAAAATCCATCGGGTCTGGTCACTGGGTCCCCACGTCTCTAAAGTGTTTAGGCGCAGCGAGCCATGCCGGTCAGCGGCAACTCAAAACCGACTCCGGGCGCGTGCTTTTGCGACTTTAATTGGCCCGCGCTCTCGAGCGGACGCGTCCTCGGGCGCGCGCCGTCGTCCCGCCGCCCTGCGGTGGCGCCTTTGACCTTTCGCTCTTTGTGTTTGCGGACTAATCGGCGAGCTGTCCATTAAGGCCGCTGGCAAGCACGCTCCCGAGTCGTCCCGTCGCGCTCCACCGCCGCCGTTTCCTCGCGAGACGCTCTCTTTCCCCGCGCTGTTTTCTGCCCGCTTCGTTGAGCGGCGCACGTTTTGTGGCATCGTGTTTAATTGCACGTGCATAACAAAGTGCTTTCGCAGTGAACGGAGCCCCCACCCAGGGAGCGCGCGGTGGCCTAACTCCTCACCTTGTGGATTTACAGCTGCGTTGTACGGCTAGCTCCGTGCCCAACGAGCCGCAGTAGATAAAGATGAGGCTCTCAACCGCGTTTCATGTGACGTTCTGTCCTTCAGCTTAGATTACGTGACGAGGTGTAAGGTGCGAACGGACGATTCGCCAAAGACCAAATCAACTGGGATGCACTTGATGTTGTCCGATCTCGGAATCTAAGTAGGGTTGAGGCCCGGACAGTGCCTGGATGAGCGGCCAGCATGAACATGTTGTCACATAGCTTGTGGGACTATGCGGTGGGCAGCAGTTGTTGTACTGCACTACCATGCTCCCACGCCTACGCTCCACGCATTCACCAAACCCGCATTGTCCAGCTTGGTGATGATCAAATAACCCCCCAAGACTGACGTGGCATGGAAAGACCCTCAGTGGATTGACAACTGCTCATGTCCACAAGGATGCATCGGTCCACAGTTACAAATTTCGCGGGGGCCGCCGT